CCCCCCCCCGCCCCCCCGACGCGGACACAAAGGGCGCCGGCCACTCAGCCGCGAGGCCGGAAGCGTTTGGCTGGCCATTTTCCAGGGCCCCCCCCTCACTTTCGTGTGTATCTGCTGGGAAGACCTGGATCCTGCTCAGCCCCTGCCTCCCCCTCCCCCCAGGGTGTGTGGGGCCGCCTTCAAAACAGCCCCCTGCTTTACGCTGGGTTTCACTCCTGTGACAAAGCCTCCCAGCACCCCTGAAACAGGGGGCTTTGTCACATGATCCCCCCCAGCTGATTTCTGGGGTGCTGCCTGTCTGAGTGTAGCATGGGCTGACTGCTGCGTCTGCCTGCTATCCTCATGGAGGATCACTAGGGGGCGCCGTTCTCCGGTCAGGTGGCTGGTTGGGGTGTTTTCGTCTGTGCCGCTAAGCTCCCATCTCCCGCCAAGAGCAGGGGTGTTGTGGCCCCACGCACCTGCCTCAACTGATCTCTTTAACTTCCTGCTCCAGTTCCTGCCCCCCCGCTCCTCCCCCCCCGTCACTCTGCCATACATGACGCAATGGCGAGGTAATGAGTGACAGTCTGGCACGGTCTCCCCACCCATCCCCCCCTAGAGATCCCACTATGCATCCTCTTGCTCAGGCTTTGACTACAGTTAACGCCAGTATGACGGCGATGTGTGTCTGTCCACATCCCGGCCTCATCTCTCTCTCCCTCTCCCTCTCCTTCATGCTCAGGCCTGGAAGAAGCGGTGGTTTGTCCTCCGTAGCGGCCGCATGAGCGGCGACCTGAATGCCCTGGAGTATTACAAGAACGACCACTCGAAGAAGCCCATCCGCGTCATCGACCTGGACTGCTGCGAGCAGGTGGACGCTGGGCTCACCTTCAAGCGTAAGGACTTCCAGGACAGCTTCGTCTTCGACATCAGGACCTCGGACCGCACCTTCTACCTGGTGGCTGAGACGGAGGAGGAGATGAACAAGTGGGTTAGGGCCATCTGTCAGCTCTGTGGCTTCAACCAGGCCGAGGAGAACTATGGTACGGGTCGACACCCCGCCCCCGTCCGTGAGTGACTGACGTGCTTGTTTGCTGTGCCGGGCGTGCCCTGTGGGTGCTCTCTGTCTGCCCTGGATATTGGAGTCACACGCAACCCTTAACAAACATTATCTGTCTCTGCTGTTTATGGTACCGGGGGCCTCTGTCCTAATAATGTCCATGATGTGCGGGATAAGATGAGGTTTGACTGGGACTTGCCCCCCCCCCCCTCCCTTTTTAGCCTCTGCTCTGGGGGTGTCACTGCTGTGTGTTTCACCTAGAAGGGCCACCACAGCACAGTGACCCCTGTTGCCCCCCCTATGGGTATGGAGGGTGAATTCTCTACCCCTTTCCCGCCTCTTTTCACATGAGACCTGAGGAGTCAGAGTGGGGGGGGGGGGTTGGCGTCAGTTAGGTCAGATGGGATAGAAATTCTTTATTTATACAGATTCCTGGAAAAGAAAGCGTTCCCCCGGCCAACGTAAACATACACATGGCTGGGCGGCGCGCTGAGGAGTGACGCGCTCTGTTTGATAAAACTGTCCTGTGTGTTTTGCAAGTTAAAAATCATATATTAAAGATGGCAGGCCTCGGCTCAGCACTTCAGAAAATGCGCTAAATCCTCCATAACTTCATTTTATTCTTCCTCCAGTGTCTTTGAATGTAAAAATTAGTGTTGCAACCCCCCCTCCCTCAAACCCTTTCACCTCAGACACTGTGATTAGGAAGCTCATCGGAGAAGATGCAAAAGGGCGGGGCCGCCAAGGTCACATAAGCCACACCCCTTGGCCTGGTCAGCCATGTCTGTAGTACATGTAGTACTTCAGCCATGTCTGAAGTAACTGGAAATAGTAACCGGTCCAGTTGTATCCCTCTTCGGCGCCATGTCCCGTCGCATCTGGGCCCATCCCGTGTGTGGTGAAGCAGCGCTTCAGGTTCCTGCTCACGCCAGTGCTGGCCTCAACCCGCCCCCAGCTCTCAGTGGCGTGTCTGGAGGGGTCATGCGTCAGCCCAGACCCACCCCCTCATCGCAGTCACGCCTCCTCAAAGCAGGAGGTTCTGCGGTGCTGGAGCTGGCGAGCAGCCAGGGTGCGTGCTGTGAGCGGCATACGGGGAGGGGGGTGTCCGTCTGGCTGGCTTCGCCACCTGCAGACCGCCCCCCCACCGGCTCCTTACGCGTCTCCTCGCGCGAGGCTCACACCCCGCCTGCCAATGCTCTGGCAGTCTCATAACCTCCTGGATCTTTCCAAAGATGCTCGTTAGACGCGGTCTGGCGTGCGTCGTCTCCCAGGGCTCTACTCCATATCGAGCGTGTGCCGCAGGATCCTCCAATCAGAGTTACAGAAAGTAATAAACAAACCTTTACGAGCCAAGCTGTGAACGACTGACCAGCCTGTAGAGTCTAGGTCCAAAGTTAAATTGCTGTGCCCCCCCAATTCACAGGCAGGTTAGCCTTTTCCACATGGTGGGGGGTCTCTGGGCTCAGCTCGGCCTGCCGTATGGGAGCCTAGCTTGGGGTGACCTACCAGAACAAACTAAAAACCTTGTCAGATGTCCCCCCCCGCCCTCCCACGTCCCGACACGCTGTGTAGCACAGACCTCACTGTATGGTCCCCGTTGCTAATTATTAGAGTGTAAATCTGTCTGCACCCCCCACCTGCCAAAGGCCCCTCCCATAATCCACCCAGCAGTGGTGCGTCCTGGCACCATGAACCCCGGGGGCCGCGTACACGTGAGGTCAGCCAAAGGCCGTCGCCGTGAGAGCTCACCGTGGCCCCGCCCCCACTGTGGCCCCGCCCCCACCGAGCATCCTTCACAGTCATTGATTCCCGTCGTAATGGCGCGATGCGGCAAAGCTCTCCGGGCCGGGTCACCGGTGCTGCGGCGCTGTCTGACTGGGTAGCCCGGCACTGCGAGCTCCACCCCCTCTCCATGTCGCCATGGCAGCGGCAAGGGATGGGGGCAATGTGCTTTCCATCAGCGATCTCCTGACAGCAGCGGGGAATGAGAGCCCCTTCTCCAGGCCTCTCGATGGTGCGCACACACACACACACACACACACACACACACACAGGCACACAGGCACACACACACACACACACACAGTCTTTTTACTGCCCGGAAAATGGCGTTGTGTTGTTTCCTTACTTTGACTCGAAGCATCTCCCTCCCTTGCCACTGAGGGTTTTGGGGGTGAACGTTCTCTAACTGGCCCGAAAGTCTGTGGGCTCCGTTTCAGCCATGAGCAGAGCGCCCCCTGTCTGAAGCTGTCTGCAGCCCCCCGCTTTTACCGCCCGCTGCAGCAAGCGCCGATGATTCAGCCATTTCACAAAGATGTCTCTCCAAGCGAAACCTCAGTGTTTTTATTGACCGGGAGCAGACCGGGGGGGGGGGGCTGAGGTGTGTGTCGCCGCCCCCTGGCCAGCCCTTGTCGTCGCAGCACGCTCTGAGGGTGCAGCTGACTGCGTTCAGCTCCCTGCGTGACGCGGGGTGTCTACACAGCGTGTGGCGTTTGTTCTGTCCAGCTGGCCGCTAACAGGGAGGGATTGATACAGATTCCCCCAGCAGACCGCTTTGTGTCTCTGGAGTGAGGGTGGGGGGGTGACAAAGCACCATTGTGGGGGGAGCACGATTCCCGTATGTTGCGCCTCCTGCATCCAATAAATGACTCTGTCACTGTTCATAAGTCCCCTTAGCATTGAGAGAGAAGCTAAGAAGGGATGGACACTTGCGTTCTGATGACATGGATGCAGGTTTGTGTGTGAAAGACACACAAACGGATCCTGACTCGTGTGCTTTTCCACTAGTCCTGGACTAGTCTGGTTTTTCAGACGCTACGATCGATCGTACATAACCAGCTGTGGGGTTACGTGATTATCTGTTTCGAATGTGCGCCCCGCAGCTTTTAGGCTAATGAAGAGGGTGGGGCCATTTCCCGCCGGGAAGACCGAGCAGAGTGCTTCACCGTGGCCAGATTGATCATTTATTCCATTAGTGTCTGTGATGTGACATGATAGCCCTCCCTCCCAAATGCAGGATCGCTGCAGCCTGTGCAGTAATGAACCCCCCCCCCCCC